GTTGCTCCCGTGCCTCGCTCAGCCAGTGAGCGGGAACCGGTCCGTATGTGGGATCCGAACCCTCGGACGGGAGCGCCGCCGCACTTCCCAAGCGGCGCACTATCCAGTGCGCCACCGGGCCAGCCCGTTAATTTCATTTTTTGATTGTTCCCTGCAAGTGTATAGAAATGAAGTGATCTTGCATTCTGCAACCATGCTGAACTTATCAGTTCTAATTGTTTTTTATTGGATCTCTTAGGATTTTCAATATATAAGATTATGTCTTTTGCAGATATTGTTTTAATTCTTCCTTTCAAATCTGGATGCATTTTATTTCTTTTTCTTGCCTAACTGCCCTGGCTAGAACCTCTAGTCCAGTGCTGAACAGAAGTAGCAAGTGTGGATACCTTTGTCTTATTCCTGGTCTTAGGGGACAAGCTTTCAGTCTTTCACCATTAAGTAACATGTTAGTTGTGTTTTCTATAGATGCCTTTTATCAGGCTGAATAAGCCAAAGTCTCAGTCTTGCTTCTCCTGTACATCTCTAATGCCACTGCCTCTATCTAAGTCACACATGCCTCATTTCTCCTAGATGTTACAGAGTGGAAGAGACCCCCAAAGTGGAGAGAAATACTCCTTTCCCTCTTTGCTTGTTCTTCACCTTTCTCATACATATCTCTACTCCAGAACAGATTATATGGCTTTATTCCTATATCTGCCTGTCAACTAGTTTCCCAGCCTCCAGTCTTCATGGTGGGCCATCATTAACATTCTGATAGCACTTATTTCCATTCTACCACACTGCCAAGAAGCAAAATTAATCATATCACTCTCACTTAAAACATGCTATAGAATTCCCATAGCCTGCAAGATACAGCAGGCACCTCAGTCTGGCCCTACCCATCTCTCCAGCCTTCTCCTTTAACTGCCTCTTATGATTACCTATGGGTACCAGCTACAGCGAATGACCCCAGACTCCCTGAAAGTGCCACTGTCTTCCATTTCTATACCTTTGTACAAGCTTGTTTCCTTCTGAAGTGTACTTTTATAGCTAGCAAAATGCAGCTTAGATGCCCCCTCTGTTGTAGGTTCTCCCTTAACGGACTCTCTCACGGCTCCCACAGCACTCTCTTCAAATATTTGACAGTTCTCTAACTATTAACATTCTGCTGACATACCTTCCCCACTAGGTTACAGCTAACAAAGATCTATATCCCCAGTTCCAAACATCCTGTAGTCCTCAAGTATCTGTTGACTGGATCAGCCACCAGGAATGAAAAAAAGGAGGATAGAAAAATACTTCTTTCATTATAAAAGGACTGAGTTAGTCACCTTCCATTAAGTCCTTAAAACAGAGCCTAAAGAATACTTCTCATAAATCTAGAGGTTCCAAGTTGCTCTACAAAAATCCTCAATTCACTTCTCAAAGCTGCACCAGAGACAGTTTACAGAACGAACATCAGTAACCTGATGGAAAACAGTTGTTAAACGGACCAAAGTTGAGTTAAAATTACTAGATCCTAAGTTCAGATTTTTTAGAAATCTCTATTTCTTTCAGTCCCAGGCCTACTTCTTCTGCCTTACATCATACCAACCTCAAATGATCTAACCATTCTACTCTAATACTAGGGCTCTAAGTTACATCAGACCAACCCCTGAAGGCAGCCAAAAGCTTACTTACCTGAGCCGAGATGCCAATGAGGAGCAGCCACTTCTGGTACTCATCAGTTCGGTAGTGGATCATCTGGCACCCTGCCAGATTGGTGTGCCTATCAAACATCTTTATGGGCTGAGAGTCACCTTCCATGCTCCAGTGGTAGACTGTGGTCTCAGTCACCAAGGCAATAGTGTTCACAGAGATCCATTTCCAGAAAATGACCTCTTCTGCCATAGTATGAGACTTCATTTTACTCTTTATCTCAATATTAAAGATTTGAAGTGTCTTCCCAGCTAATATTTGATGTGATAAAGATTAGAGAAAGACAAATTAAAAATCTGAAAGACAAATTCTTATATTCTTAATTCTGAATCCTTTTAATATAAGTTGTATTACTTACAGCTAATCTGATTAACAAGGGGAAAAAAGCTGCCTGAGTAATAATTAACCTTACTTTGCTGTCTAAATATTGAGAAGAGCTCCCTTACAGGTTCTTCTTCAGAAGAATGTAAAAGTGTGTGAATATTTATAGAATGTATGAATAACCATCAGAAATTAGGTCTATTGAAGCAATTCTCAAGACAAATAGTTTTAGATTGGTTTCGTCTAGGTTCAAAATACTTTTCTGGATAAGTTAGCAAAAACATAAGACATCCTTTCTCTGTTGTCTCCAACTTTCACGAAAAAAACCCATAAATATCCCTTCACATTAAACCAATTTCTCCATATAACAGGGTTCTCCTTTGTCTTAAATTCTAAACAAGTACTGTCAAATAGACTCATCTTCAATGTTGGAACTATTCTACACCTGCACTATCTATTAAAGTAGATATTCTGTTGCTATTCAGCATTTAAATGTATCTAGTGAGATACACTTCAGGAACTACATTTTTACTTTTATCTAACTTTCATTAATTTAAACAAACAGCCCCCATGTGGCTACAAAAGGACAGTACAGTTCTAGATAAAAGGCTTTGGCATCCATCCTCTGACAAGAGACCCATACTGTTTCCACCACTGGCAAGGAGCTGAGTTCTGATCTTGGAATCTACACAAAAACTTACAGCTAACATGAAATATTGATATTGCTTCCTCCCAAGATCAGAAACTAGGCAAGGATTATTTCTTGGACCAATTCTTTTTGACACCGTACTGGATATCTCAGCCGGTACAATAAGGTAAGAAAAGTAAAAGGCATAAATATCAAAAAATAAGTAAACCTATCTTTATTCACAGACAACATAATTATTTACAAAAAATACCCTAATGAACCTACAAATCTATAAAATAACTATTAGAATTAATAGGTGAACACAGCAATGCTGCAGGATACAGGTCAATATACAGAAATATCAATTGAATTTTGAGATGCTAGCAGCAAACAATTTGGAAATAAAGAATTTTAAAGAATTTATACCACCACCAAAAACATAACATTTAGGAATAAATTTAACAAAAGATAAGCAAAACTTCTACATTAAATGATAAAATGAATGATAAAACAATACTGAGAAAAATTAAAGACCTAAATAAAAGAGACAACAGAGGCATACCATGCTCATGGATCAGAACATTTAAGATCATCAAGATGTCATTTCTCCCCAAATTGATCTCTAAGGTTCAATGCAATCTCAATCAAAATCCTAGCATCATTTTTTTGGGGTAGAAAATAAGCTGATTCTAAAATGTACATGGAAATGCAGAGGACAAACAATTTTGGAAAAAAGCAAAGTTGGAAGACTTATTAATACCTGACTTTAAGTCATGCTATAAAACTACAGTAAGAAAATCTATGTTTAAAAAAAAAAAAAGAAAGGAAAAAGAAAATATGTGTTATTGCCAAAAAGACATACATACAGATCAACGAAACAGACTATACAGTCCAGAAATAGCTGCATGCACTTATGGTCAACTGATGTGACAAATGTGCCAAAAAAAAAAAACTCTCAATGGGCCCAAACACATTTTTTTTTTTTTTTTTTGTCCTTTTTGAGACTGGCCGCACCATGCTCAGCCAGTGAGCACTGTGAGCGCACCGGTCATCCCTATATAGGATCCAAACCTGCGGCGGGAGCACTGCTGCGCTCCCAGCGCCGCACTCTCCCGAGTGCACCATGGGCTCGGCCCCCAAGCACATTTTTTTACAGAAATAAAAAATCCATCCTAAAATTCATATGGAATCTCAGAGGTCCCTGAATAGCCAAAACCATCTTGAGAAAGATGAACAAAGTTGGAGATCTCACACTTTCTGATTGTAAATCTTATTACAAAGCTACAGTAAGCAAATGGTATGGTAATGGCATGAAGACAAACATACAGACCAATGAAACAGAATACAGAACCCAGAAATAAACTCTCACGTATATGATGAAATCATTTTTGACAGGGTCCCAAGATCATTCAGTGGGGGAAAAGACATGCTTTTCAACAAATGATTCTGTGAAAAATGGATATCTGCATGCAAAAGAATGAAACTGGACCTTTACCTTATACCATACACAAAAATTAACTGAAAATTAACTGAAAATCAAAGACCTAAAATAAGAGCTAAAACTGAAAAACTCTTAGAACAAAACATAGGGGAAAAGCTTCATGACACTGGATATGGCAATGGTTTTTTTAGATATGACACCAAAAGCATAGGCAAAAAAAGAAAATAAATAGACAAACTGGACTGCATCAAAGGACAGAAAAGAGTGAAAAGACAACCCATGGGATGGAAGAAATATCTACAAATCATGTATCTGATGAGGGGTTAATATTGAGAATACATAAAGAACTCCTACAACCTGACAACAACAACAGTAACAACAACAAAACAAATTTAAAAATGAGTGAAATTTGAATAGACATTTCTCCAAAGAAAATATGCAAATGGCCAATAAGAACATGTAAAGATGGTCAATATCACTAATCCTTAGGAAAATGTAAATTAAAACCACAATGAGATACCACCTCTCACCCATTAGAATGGCTATTATAAAAAGAAAAAAAAAATAACAAGTGTTGTCAAGGATGTGGAGAAATTGGAACCCTGTACACTGTTGGTGAGAATGTCAAATGGTGTAGCCACGATGGAAAACAGTATGGCAATTCCTCAAAAAGTTAAAATAGAATTACCATATGATCCAGGAGTTCCACTTATAGGTATATACCCAAACAAACTGAAAGCAGGGTTTCAAAGAAATATTTGTATAACCGTATCATTAGCAGCATTATTCACAGATCTAGCTGTTTTTGAAGTATTATGTCTGAGCTACACAGCTGGAAAAAAGAATTAATTTACCTGTCCAGTTATGTAGCCAAGTTACTCAACAACTCACATCATCATATCAACTAGCAAATTAACTTTTAACTACAATTTGATTTTGTTGTTTTTGGCAGCTGGATGATACAGGAGTCCAAACACTTGACCTCGGTGTTAAAACACTGCACTCTACCCAACTGAGCTAACTGGCTAGCCCTTCATCTACAATATGAGAAACAAGACTGCTGTTGCTAAAGTAAAGTCTTTTATGACGTCATGATATAAGATATATGACATCATGATATAAGATAAAGGAGTGCTGGCTGAAAACAGTTCTAAAGTTAACTACAACTATATACCATATTAAGTTTATACCATACAAATTTATGAAACAGCTGGTTTTAAACATAATTTAGGTGTGACCTACTTTTGCTGTCTTCACCATATTGTAAATGTTAAACCCTCACCATCTTTAGACACTCGCAGCTTATGGTAAACTGGTTCTAATCAGACTGAACTAAGATGGGAACTCAAACCCACGAAAAGAAATTAAGAGCAATGAAAATGATAAATATGTTGGCTAATATAAAGACTATATTTTTTCTCATTGCTTTTCTTTGCTTCATTAAAGGACATCACATAAAACTATAATAATACAATAGGATTGTTGGGTTTATAATATACGTAGATGTGTATACATATACTTCATTTTATCTATTTTTGAAATACTTTATATATTCATACATATAAGAATGACAAAGATAGCACCAATAGAGGGGAGAGGGAATGGAGCTATATTGGTGTAAAATTTTCTGCATTTTAACTGAGTTAAGTTAATATTTACCCAAAATAGTCTGTGGTAAGTTAGGATACATTTTGTAAACTCCAGAACAACCACAAAACACACACACACACACAAAATAGAAAAAAGAAAAATTCAAAAGAAAACAATATGCTATTCTTTTTTTAAAAAAAAAAACAAAAATGGCACATGGCAGGCAGCTGTGCACATGCACACACACACAAAATAGAAAAAAGAAAAATTCAAAAGAAAACAATATGCTATTCTTTTTTTTAAAAAAAAAACAAAAATGGCACATGGCAGGCAGCTGTGCACATATTCCAGGAGCACTTACACACAGCTTGCTGGAGCCAGGGTGTTTTTTGAAACAATCAAGAACACTGACAAATATTAATTACTGATCAAGAAAAAAAGAAGACTTAAATTATCAAAATAAGAATGAAAGAGAGGACATCACTGCCAACTCTAAGAAAGTAAAAGTATTATGAGGGAATAATATGAATAATTTTATGCCAACACATTAGAAGACTTAGATGACTTGGCTAAATTCCTAGAAATATACAAATTACCAAAACTGACACAAAAAGAAACAGAAAATCTGAGCAGATTTATAGCAAGTAAAGAAGTTGAGTTAGTAATTAAAAATCTTCTCACAAAGAAAAGTCCAGAAGGCTTTCACTGTTGGATCCTATCAACTACTCAAAGAATATTAAGATAACAAGTACTTCACAAACTCTTCCAAAAAAAGAGGAGGGACCACTTCCAATCTCATTTTTTAAGGCAAACATTCACCTTATTACAATGTCAGATAAAGACAGCACAAGAAAAAAAAACCACAGACCAATTATCATAAAAATAACAGAAAAATCCTTAAAATATTAATGAACAAAATCCAACAACATATAAAAATGATCATATACGGGCCGGCCCGGTGGCGCACTGCTACAGTGCGCTGCTTGGGAGCGTGGCGGCGCTCCCGCTGAGGGTTCGGATCCCACATACAGACCGGTTCCCGCTCACTGGCTGAGCGAGGTGCGGGCGCGACACCGAGGGTTGCAATCCCGTTGCTGGTCCCAGTCCAGTATGGGCGCAACACTGAGGGTTGCGATCTGTTGCCGGACACGAAAAAAGACAAAAAAAAATGATCATATACCACAACCAAAAGGGATTCACTGCAGGAATGCAAGGTTGGTTTAACATCCAATAAGAAATTCATGTAATACACCACACTAAAAAAGGACAAA